AATCCAAATATGTAAAAAAAAATACATGTTTATTCAGAGAAAGTACGTTTTTGTGTCTGATTTCGTAACTTAATTAATAGTTAGCACTAATTAATTAACATATTTGAGGTCACCCCCGGGAACCATTAAGATTGACACTTAGATCGTGAAAATCCGATCATTAGAACAAAAGTTATTCAGGGTGATATCTTTTTTTTTTTGCGGACTGTACGTTGGGTTGAAATGATTATTTGCTATAATAGCAATAACCAGACCTAAATGCCTCCCAAAGAAAAGGTGGAAAGTAGTCGAAAGAATTATGAAATAAGCCAGGGCCCACGAAAGTGTGTAGGACTATAGAAAAATAAAAAGAAACAATAATACTCTTTATTTGAATACGTTGAAGTGGTAGACAAATTTCTATTTATGAAGAAAATGCTTCAGATTCACTCGGTAAATTCTGCAACTGGGTCTAAGATGAAAATATTTTCATAATACTAGTGCTATTGAAAATCCCCAACCAACTTTTTCTATTTAGGTGTGACTAAAACTACATTACATAGCTGCTTCTTCTTGTGCTTTGTAAAAAGAGATTCTTAGTATATGTACCACGATCTCTAAAAATAACTTAAACTTATTAATAGTTAAAAAAACGCAAATATTCTTGAATCCTGGATGTATTCTTTGTGATGTCCTCTAAATTGTTCCATCTGTCCTTCTACTTGATCTGTCCTTCTACTTGCCTAAATTGAGCAAGCAAGCCTGCAAATGTATGTAATTTCAATAAAGCAATAATTCCTTAAAAAATCGTTCAAACTTGTTGTAAAAATATTGCAAATTTCTTTTTATGAACTTTACTTTTAATCTATTTATTTATAGATTTTATTTATTGGTGCAAATGGCTTTTATCATACGCATACATTCAAATGTGGCGAAGAACGACAAAGAAACGATTTGATTTGCACGATGAAATGGCTGACAATGATCCCGTGAAGGTTGCGTTTATTTCAGCACCAGAAGAAATTGCTTTAGAATCTCCTTTAGAAGAAAGTAAACTATATACTGTAAGTTTCCTCATGTATTAATTTTTTTTTAATTTTTCAGAAAAAAATCTTTTACTATGGAAATAGGAAATGAATGATTTACTGAAAAGTATGTAAAAGAAATTTAGAGATACAAAATAGATTATTCTTTAACTTTCGGTACATAAAGATTACGCGGTTACTCAAATTATTACGCTGCAGTGAGCACGAACTTATTAAAATATTGAGGAGCTTAGCTTCATGTTCGCCGACATGCCAAAGTGTTCAGCTTCTCTTTGCGTAGAAATGTTTTTTAGTATTAACAGAACTTGTGTATTATTATTAATTTATTACTAGTTTCGTAAAATTGATTCATAGTAATTTTGACCATTTCGGCTTATAAATAACCCCGGGAACAAATATTTTTCTGCATTTATACAAGTGCTTGATCTTGCTTCAGCTCCACCTTGTCTAACAAGTCTATTTTACTTTTGATATGTGTTTAAATTACTTATACTTAGAGGTAGTTTGAATTATTTTAATTATAATTTATTAAGAGGCTCTTAGAGGGACTGGAAAGTAAAGTCGCTTCGGACCAATAGATATTCGTTAGTCTTAAAAACCAATTCATTAGTTTCTATTTATTTTCGATTGGGCATTGAAAGGTTGTTACTATCGAAGATGAATACATTATTGATCAAAAATAAAATCTTGATTACAGATATCAAATACATCGATATGACATTACTTCCCGGTCCCCCTAATATTACATTATTTTTGACTAGGCAAAATAATATTTGAAACCACGGAAATTCTGCAGTTGTTAGAGGGTATGCTGCCCGTAAACCAGAACTGTTCAGGCAAAGACTATTCCTCGGGGGTTTCGAATGATGGTAATTAAAGTTTGGTAATTAAAGGTATTATTGGTAATTAAAGTTTGGTCAAGAAATGTTTATTTTTATCAGAGCTATGAAAACCTTTTAATTCTATGTGCTGCAAGATTTTGAGGACAAGAGTGTATTTTTAGTTTTACTTCCCTATACATATTTTTAATATATACTTATTTCCTATATTTATTTATCTAGACATCTGATGAAGTATTTTTCTACGGTGTAAACTCAAAGTCTGAGTACTTTGTAACAAGAATAATGAGAGGCATAAACAATGAGGCCGAAGCTTGGATATACATGAAACTCAGCAATGGAAAAGTGTACCAACTCAAGCAAACCACAAATTACCAACAATCTAGTTGTGAGAAGAAAGTGTTTACGTGTGGTAATCTCCAAATGCATTACATAACACCTATGAGAAGATGGAGAATCTTCTTCAATGGTTTATTAAGGTATTTCATTCGGCCTGTTCACGGCACGGAGGTTTATGAGACCGCTCCAAATTTTTTCAACTTTTTAAAAGTTTGTCATTTACAGTTGTTAATCGTTTAACGGTAACAACTTCAATTGATTCTGTTCATAAATTCTTACGTGACGTCATTGTTCTTTGTTTAACAATAATTTTTTATCAGTATTTTAAATGTTTCATTCAGAAAATTTAACTACAGTAAAAAGGTTTAAATTTTGATGAATAATAAAAAAACAAATCATGATTTTTTCAAAATTAGGGTGCATTCACACCGAATATCCTTCTGCTTTGAAGGAACCAATCAAATTCTCATTTTCTAAATGTATATTTTGTAGAAGTTGTTATTTTGATGAAAGAAAGGACAAAAAAATATTACTGGTGCTACGTTGAAAAAATATTTTGAATTAAAATGAAAAGTTTGTTTTCAAAATATTTGAATCAGCAATAGAATGAAAACAAAATCTTTTATTTATAACAAAAAGATAAGGAGTGAATATCTCCCCTCTTTTCATGAAATAGGAACTGATTAAATAGTTTAAAAAGGCACCAAAAGCTCTGCGCCGTGAAACTGACCCATTCTTCACTGTTTGCCATAACGTAACACATGAAAAAGTTAATATTTCAGTATCGTAATCGTATTTTGTAAGTACCGTAAGTAGTAGCTCTGTCTTAATAAATCCTAGCAGAGTTTATTAAATGAATAGTGGTGCCTTAAAAAATTATTTTGATTTTTATACATTAGCAGAAAAGCCAACTTCACCACTTTTTCCAAATCTGCCGCTTTTACCGCTTTTCATGGTATTTGACATATGTTTATCTGAAGGGGTGGACAAAATTATTTAATATTATCAAAAGAAATATTTCTACATTACCTTCGCTATCACAAAGAAAAATATTTTCTGAAACAGCAAAAACTCCTTAGTAGGTTGGCAGGTATGTACTTGAGGGTTTCTGTTTCATTTAAATAAATTCAAAAACTGATGAAATGGTTAAGTACCCAGTTCTAAAGTAAGAGCCTGAGTATGAAAGTTTCGACTGTTAAAGGGTTGAAGATCATAAAACAACTTAATCACTTAATAGTTGGTCAAATTTGTCGTTATAAATAAAAAGATTATAATATTAAAAATATTCATTTTGCCATAACTATAAATTTTTTGTGAGCAGAAAACGCAAAATGCAAACCGCTACTAACTTCCTAAGATTTTCGGGAAAATTTCCTCTACTTTATGTTTTCATTTGTGATTCCTTGCTTTATAAATTCTATTTAAAAATATTTTACACACCACTACTTCGACTCCAAAGTTCTTATGAAACATAACTTAGTTGCTGATCCTTCGCAGGTCATCCCTATAACAGAGTTAGAGACAAGGTAGCTGTAAGAGTATTGCTTATGTAACCTTTTATTTACCGTTGACAGAGTTTCGTCAATTTCGTGTAAATATGTAAATAATTGTATATATTTTCTCTTTTATTACTCCTGCGTAAATGTTAATAGTGTTCTGACTCCTGATATATTATTATACTCTAATCTAGTTTAATCTCATTTATGTTTAATTTCCCAATGATTTCATTATATGTTCAACCGACTGGTTTCCCACTTGCGACTTTACTATTTGGTGCTTGGCACCCCTTCTCCCATTTCTACTCACACTTCACTCATTCCCCCTTTATATGTCTCAAAAATCGGACGAATTAGTTAATACCGCTTCGCGGCCGCGAACTGAGATTTGGGCTATGATCTAATGATCTCTTGCTGTTAGGCTGTTAAAATAAAAAGTTACCAAAAAGATTAAGAATTTTAAAAGCTTTAGATCTAATTGTTTATCACTCTATTAAATATTTTGCAAACACCATAGCAGATAGCCTTCGCTAGGGTGATCGCACAGGTTTTTTTCTCCTTCAGAAAAGTCAATATTCTCTGCTTTGCGGGAAAATTTCAAATGGCAGTAAAATTTATGTTTTAAAATTTGAATCCTGATTCAATAAATTTGATTGAAAGTATTTTTGTTCACCAAAAAATTCAATTAATTCAAACATGTGGATTAAATTTTATATTAATCCCATTTCCTTGTAGTAAACACTATATACATTGAAGAGCTTTTACATTATGACCACCCTCCATCTATAACAATGGGCTCACCCAGATTTTCATGGTTTCTCGGAACAATGTTTTCATGGGGCACATTAGGACCCATAATCCTCATAGAACAATCCCCAGAGACTTTTTGTATTTAGA